TTTGCTGGACGCATCTGCACTAGGAGCAAAGGACATGGAAACACTGGGTCTGTCATTTTTCCAGCCGGATTTTCTTATCTGCTCGTTCTTCAAGATTTTCGGCGAAAACCCATCAGGTTTTTGCTGCTTGTACATTAAGAAATCCAGCGTCTCGGATTTAAGTCAATCAAGTACAAGCATGGGAATTATCAGCTTAACCCCAACGACAACAGCGGAGGGGCCAGCTCAAGAAAGGGCCACTGGTGAGAATACCGAGAGCCAAACGGCGCCGTTTCCAACCTCCACATCACAACAGACAATCGGTCCAGAAAAGAGAAAAGCAAATTCCTCCGAGATAGTCGTCGAATTGGACGAAAGCCCTAACCTTGACGCCACAAATTGCCCAGAACCTGAGTGTCGGGCCCTAGACCACGCAGACGAATTAGGGCTAGTTTTGATCAGCGGCAGAACACGGTGCCTCGTCAACTGGCTCGTGAACGCGCTGCTCAGCCTCCGGCACCCACATTCCGAAAACGGGCTCCCACTGGTCCGGATCTACGGGCCGAGGATCCAGCTGGATCGAGGCCCGGCCCTCGCGTTCAACGTGTACGATTGGAAAGGAGAAAGGGTCGACCCCGTCTTGGTACAGAAGCTTGCCGACAGAAACAAGGTCTCCCTCACAGTTGGGTTCTTGAAGAACATTTGGTTTTCCGATCATTGTCAGGAAGACAGAGAAAAAGTGTTGCAAGATCGAGGTAATGTATCGCGGCAAGGGCTATGGAACGATGCAGAGGAGAAGACGAAAGGGAAACAAGATTTGGGGGTGTTTGTGGTTTCGGTTTCAATTGGGATGTTGAGCAATTTCGAGGACATGTACAGGGTTTGGGTTTTTGCAGCGAGGTTTTCCGATGCTGATTTTGTGGAGAAGGAGAGGTGGCGATACACTGCTCTTAATCAGGCTACTGTTGAGCTCTGAGATTTGATTTGGGGAGCAACTGCAATTTGGATATATATTTAAAAAAATAAAGAATTATATTTAGATGGAGAAATTATTTTTATTGGATACAATTTTTTTAGAAGAATAAACTGTTCTTAAGAACTAACATCGATCACGTATTCAATTGTACCACAAAGATTTTCCTGGCCGCAGGTGAAGGCAGCACAGTAACATCTAGGTAGAAAACTGTCTCTCTCAAACGCAATGTTTGTACGACAACAAAAGCGTGGCCGCACGAACCCCCACCGGTTCGCAAGAAAATTCGAACGGCACAACGTGCCACATCAGCGACAGCCGAAACGGAGCTCCATTAGAGTAGGTTCCATGCTCCGTTCAGCCCAATAATTTTAGACTCGTTCGATTCCAATAGAAGGTCGAGAGAATGGAGCTATTGTAATGATTTATATTCACTCATTATATAATCCGCGAGTGATATGTATTAATTATGTTAAAATTAAAGTGGCAGTATGCAGAATGTTTGTATCAAATCATTCAATGCAATTATAGATCTAAAATTTAATTATTAATTATTGCTAAACTATTGGTGATCAAATCATTCAATGCAATTATAGATCTAAAATTTAATTATTGCTAAACTATTGTTGATCATATATATTTGTACTAGTGTGTAGCCCGTGCGATGCACGGTAAATAATATTAAATAATATATATATATAAATTAAAAATGTGGGTTTACCTCACCTTGAATGTTATGAGAAAAAATTTATATAGTAGATACATAATACATACAAAATAAATATTGAGATTAAATCGATAATTACGCAACCATCACAACAAACTTTTTTTTTTCTTCCAAAAAAAAGTATGCATAAGCTTATCGATTTAAATTTAAAATTGAATACTACATTTAATGTTGGTTTTTTCTATTACTATTTGTAGTACGTATTTGATGTTTTTTGCGGGAATTTATTTCTTACTATAAATTTATTTTTTAAGGATAACAGTTGAAATGTTGTTCACAATATTTGTAGAGCATGAATTAGTTTATGTATCAATGAAATCTTTTTGTTTTTTCCTCAAAATCGAATTCAGAATATTTAGCTTACTAATTTTGAAATAAACGAAACTGAGTTTTATGAGAAAATTCATTTTAAAAATTGGTTATAACAATCTAAAATTTCAAATATATTAGTATTTCAATTTTCATTTGTTTCCAAAACCCTTTTCTTCTTAAAAAAAAAGATATATTTCATATAGTATTTTAATTTTTTTACTTTCATTTGATGTAAATCTTGGAATTTTTTGAGTACTATTTTCAAACATTATGATAGTGATAATGTTATACTATATTAGTTTTAACAAATTTATTGTTACCGAGAATCATGGTAAGCCGCATTATGGTTGGAAATATATTGATGTGAAGCGAACGCTTTGTGCTTTTTTCTTTTTTTTTCTTTTTTTTTTAACTCGCATTGTTGTATATAATTGGTTTTTGGTGATGATAACCATTGCATAATGGATATTTATAAGCAGCGCAACTAAGTGATGATAAGCATTGCATAAAATTATTTTTTTCTTCTAAAGATAACATATTCAAATGATTTTTTTGAAGATTTTATCCATATAATTTCTCTATAGATAAAAAACCAAATCCCTTAAGTTTAGAAGCTTAAATTTTGAATGTACGTAAAACGTAATATACGGGTTGTATTTGTTTATATGATTTAAATTTACAATTTTCAATTTTTTAATATTTATTACTTGCATATAAAAAATCTATAAAAAATTACTATTAATAGATTGTAATTAATATTGGCGGGTTTTTTTTGCTACTATTTATGGTAAATAGTAATTCTTATTATATATATATATTTGATATTTTATTCTATACAAGTTCACATCTCGGTTTATTACATTATAAAAAAATGTATATCTATATATACCAGATGTTGACACCCAATCTAGCATCAATATAAACACAGTGACACGTGGCATCCAAATAATTTAATGACGATTTCTAAGTATCAAAGATCATGACGAGATTAGTTGGACTCTAACTTCTCATTCAATAGCTCGGACGGAAATAACATTGTTGTAGTTTATTTTACTGGAGTAGAATCAAAAGATTCGAACGACGGGTCGTGTTCTCAAGGAAGGTTAGCGGACTATTTTGTACGTTTATTCTATCACAAAAACGAAAACAATCCTACACACTCTAATTCAAGTTGTTGGTTTTGATTTTTACTAATGATTTTTAACTAGAACAATTTAATATCGCAACTTATAAAAATGATTCAAGAGATATAAACTAGCTAAAATGATGAAGATAATTCCAAGGGATGTAAATGACTAGGGTATCGGGGACAATCGTCTTCGGTTTTACATAAATTTGACGGCAATCAATTACTCGGTTAAAAGGCTCGATTAACTAACTCATTTAGCGGTTTTACCTCACTAACTCTCGTAATATACGGAAAAACATCAATGAGTAAATTAATGAGACAATTAACACATAGACAATACGTTTTCGAACATGTATATTCTAAACGAGCCAAGTTCTACCAATTTCGCCCCTCTCGGTTTTGAAATCGATTGTTTAGATTAAAATGGTGATCAAGCTTTCAATCATGAAATAAGTAAAACTCGTAAAGATTGAGTAATTGACATACACATAAGTAAGAACGAACCGAAACGATTATCCCCTAACTCTAGCTAGAAGATTAGTTGTTCATAATAAGTTTAACATAATCATTCACATTAGAACAAGTCATCTTTAACATAGATAAAATGAAATAGATAACTTACTCGTTATGAGAAATCCACAAGCGCAAATGCAAACTTAATCCCAAGTACAACAATATCTTCAGTACAAACCAAAATACAAACTTAAGAAAGACTTAGAAAAATGAAAGAAATTCTTGGAGAAAAATTATGAATCAAAGTGTTGGATGCCCATAGATGGAAATGGAGGGTGTTCTTATAGTGTTTAGCCCCAAATTTCAGATGTAAATGCTGAAATACATGCCCAAAAATTGCCACTATCATCCACTAAGGAGAAAAAGAGGGAAAAAAGCCACAAATTCAGCAAAATCCAGGTCTCGCGGCCCGCGGCGAGATGATCTCGCGGCCGCGACTTCAGCGAGCAGAAAAATCTGTGGTTTGCTTCGCGCCCCGCGACATCCCTCACTGCCCGCATCCTCCCTTCGCGGCCCGCGACTTTCCTCATGGCCAGCGATGAAGGAACTTTTCAATTCATTGTTTGGGCTCGTATGCGCTTATCCGGACTCGGAATTGACTTCCCTTTTTTGCTACGTGTTGCCCACGAACTCCTTTATTTATTTATGCTTCCAAACCAATTTTTCCTTGAAAAGAGTACTCGCCCGAACTTCCAACCTACCATCATAAACGACAAAACACGAAACATAAAACGGGAAAAAAATACACGAAAAGCTCACAAAGACTCAAATGAGAAGAAAACACATACTCAAACACTAAACGAACTAAAAATGAAAGAAACTACCTAAAATGGGGGAAAAGAAAAGTAAAATAAGCACGAAAAATATAATAAAAATGGGACAAACAAACATCTAAAGCATCTGAAAGAGGGTTAGTGGGTGATAGAGATTACAATCCCAAAATATCAATAACACTTGCCATTCAAAAAAACCACCTTTATTAATGCTTGTGTAGAAACGATTGCGAATAAATGGGTGAGAATATCGTAATGTTGCAATTAAAATATTTCATTGGTATATGTGCAATATTTCTTGTAATTGTTTGTTCCTAGGGTAATTTTCTCAACTTTGATTTTCTCTTCCTCTTCCAAGAACTTTGTAGCCTGGACTCCAATTTTTGAGGAGCAAATATTGGCCGTCGAATGTTATGTCTTTCCCTTATGGATTTTATCTCTATCCTCCTCAGATTGAAACAAGAACTGAAATGAGTTCTGACATATGTTTCAAATCAAGGGTTAAAAATAGGAATAAAATTTTAGCTGCTCCCCGCAATCTCCTTCCCACATCCTTGTAACAACGGCTTTTGAATCCAACCTACTAAGCTTTAGCTCTGCTTAAAACTTATTGATGAAATCATCGATTCTCGTGTCACCTCAGCATCGCCCTTTGACGCCCCCTGCTCCCTCACCGTCGCCGGCTGCCACGACTCCACGATCTTCTCCTCCTCGAAATGCCTGAACGTTGATTTCAAGCTCGTCGATTTCCTCATCTTGGTCAGGAGCTTCACCAGAAATAGATATTAGTTTTTTTATTAGTTTTTTAATCGAAAGCCATGGTTGTTCAACGCATGCTAAGACTCTCTTTATCATCTGAAAAATGATTGAACAAAAAAAGAATTGCAGTCCCAAAAGGTCATTTTGCTGTTCATGTTGGTGCGAATAAAAAAAAACGCGATTTGTAAATCCAGTCTCTTCATTATTCATTTCAAGAGATGTTTCAAGCCGAAGAAGAATTCTGTTTTCAAGCCAAAAAAGGATATTTGTTATCATTGATCTTACATATCAATTGACCAAAACGAGATAGATTAGTTCCTGGAGCAGTAAAGTATTTGTTCTTAGCTAGTTCCAGGCCAAACATTTATTCTTGCCATCCTTTTGCGCATAAGAGATACTTTTTTTAGGTTTGAACTGTATCATTGGACATATCTATCTATCTATATCTAATCTCCACACACACACACACACATATACATATATTATTTACAACTCAATAATTTGATTTTGAATTAATTTATTTTTTTTTATTTTTATTATATTATAAATATATTTTATACAATTTTCTTCCCTTTCTAATACATTTTAAAATGACACATTATAATATTCAATAATTTTAAATATAATGTTTATGTATATAATTATTTTTATCATTCTAATTATAATGTTCATTCTCTATGTATTCTTTGTTTAAGTTGAGACATAAAATTTTAGAATATTTTTGTATATTAATTTGATGTTTATACTTAGTTTACATATTTTTTTTCAAGTAAAATAATTATATATGGTGTGTTAATATACATAAATTTCTATTACTTTATAAGATAACTTATAATTTTACTTGATATTTTTTAATTTAGTTTGATAAATAAATTAAACTTTTATTCTTAAGTATACATATCATTTTTTGTATTATATATATATATGGATGTCAAATCGAAGATCTTTAAAAGATAAATAATTTGATATATCATATATGAAAATTAAATACAAACAAAAAAAAAGTTATAAAATTTCAAATATAAGAATAAGAAACATTTTATAATAATTGATGTATGAATTAAATAAGAAAAAGAAATGTAATATATAGTAATGTGGGAAAAGGAAACATAAAATATTTATGGTAACTAATTGTAGAATATCAATATCATTGGATTTAATATGAAAAATATAGACATAAAATAAAATTCAAGCCTAATTATTTTTGTCTAAAACATATTAATTTATGTTCAAGTCTGACTCTGAAACATGATTTTTGTCACATAGGATTCCGAAACGTGAGAATCGGGGGTCAAGTCAGGTCTGCCGGCTTGAGAAAAAATCAACAATTTTCATTTTTGTTTTGTGAGATGGGTCTGGGATCCGGGTCGTAGATTTTTGACCCGATGACCCGCCGGGCCAGGACGGGCTCGGATTTTGGCACCGTCTTAAATAAACCGATACATAAACACGCCCAAATCTTGTTTCCCCTTCGTTATCTCCTCTGCATTGTTGGATAATCCATGCCGCTATGTATATCTTCGATATTCCAAGATGGGAATTTCTGGGTTGCCTGCTATCTAAAATTGCCGATTGACTTCCCTGTTCTCCTCTCCCAAAATTTCTTTCTAACCACCGATTACTCTATTGATTTCTTTCTGCCGTCTGTCTTTTCCTTCTCTCTCTCCTCTCAGCAAAGTCGGTTTAAGTCAGACTTTTTGCTTGCTACAAGCTGGGTTCAGGGACTGCAGTCAGCCGCTTCCCCTGTAGTCGTCAGCTCGTTCTTGACAGATCCGATCGGGTGTTTTAATCTGGAGTAAAAGGATTCGAACCTTTTTGATGAATCAGATCCCCAAATTGCATAAAAAATTGATCTTGGGGAAATCCGTTAATCCGCCGCCGGCGACGACTGATCGGCGAACTGGTAACTCGTTGATGTTCATCCACAATCATCTCCCAGACTTATATGTATATTTATTTAATGCATCCGAGTTAGAATCCGAATTTATAGCTTTGTTGGAGCTTTGGGTTTCAGCAAGATTGGACTTTTATTATTGCAACTTTTGGTTTGAGCAAGATTGGATTTTTATTATTGCAGTTTTTGGTTTCAGCAAGGTTGGATTTTAATTATTGCAGTTTAGGTTTCAGCAAGATTTGATTTTTATTCGTTGTTAACTATTTACTGGTCCACGCCCTATTCAGTTTTTTTTTGGTTCTAAAAATTATGGAATTAGACGGGACAGAGAAACAAATAATAATGGGTGGGTGTAGCAGCAAGGCGAGCTATTTACCTGAGGATATTCTGGAACAAATCCTGTGTAGGCTTCCCGAAAAACCTCTGGTCAGATTCAAATCTGTGTCCAAAGCATGGCGCTCTTTGATCTCTCAAATCTGCCTCCGTTATCCCCGCAGATCCGTGCTTGGACTTGTGCTCCGAACTCACAAAGTTCTTCGCCATTGTGGCAGCATTATTGAGTACATTGCCAGGACTTCCCGCCACCCTTGCCTCACCCATTTTATATCGGACCACCTCCCGGAAAAGTGGTACACGATGCGCGAGTCGATTCCTGGTCACTACTTGTCTATCGAGGAAAGAAACGGGGGCCCAAAACTACTCGCGTGGGAAGAATGCCTCGGCTCGTCAAAGCTTCCCTTCAAGCCCAGCCCAGATGACCTCGTCTCGTGCTGCAATGGGCTGCTCCTGTTCGTCGACATTGAGACCTCTCGATATTACGTCTCCAACCCTATGACTGGGCAGTGCGTGCCGATCCCCCAGCCTGCATGGGCCCAGGAGAGGCTCCTATTTGCGGCCCTTGCGTTCGACCCATCCCGATCGTCCTCCTACGCCGTGGTCCGGTTTGCGTGGCACACGACCAAGCCGGACATGGTTCTCGACGTCTACACCTCGGCCGACAAAATCTGGTCGAGCCATGAGCTGCAGCTGGACCCGTGCATGACCAGGCTCAACATGATGAGGCCCGCAACCTACTTCGAGGGGGCTCTGTTCCGGTTGTCGCTGACATGGCACGTCGTGCGGTTCGATTTTTCTCGAGAACTGGCGGGGGTCTGTGCCGCCCCTCTCCCGCTGTCGTACAAACAGTGCAAGGGGCTGATGGGGTCCATGGGAGTGCTGGCAGGCAAGCTGTGCTACTCGAACGAGTTTGAGGACGTGCTTCACGTGTGGTCGCTCGGGGATTGTTCCCTTGATGTCAAGAGCAGCCTGTGGGAATTGAGGTATAGGATTGACATATATGACTTGACTCGCAGCATGGTCCTCAGTGGGGACTGTTGGCCCCCCATCTCTAAGTGGGTGGAGACAGTTGCTTTTCATCCGAGTGCTAATGTTCTGTACCTTGGGACTCCTCGTGTGATCCTTACGTATGATTTGGAGAGCAACGAGCTGGAAGAACTGACTAGGATTGAGAGGGACGGTTTTCTCCCTGGATGTTACTGTGCTGCCTTCACTTGCGTTCGTTTTCCTGTTCCTTTTGATGAAGCCGGAAATATTTGTGCTCCCAATTGCTAGTGAGTTTGTTGATTTCCAGGCTGCAACTTTTTCCTTTTAGTTTGATGTTTTTTAGGCAGCACATTGTTCTAATGATGAACCGATTAACTATACAGTGCAGTCAAAATAATATGCAGCTTCTTTTTTATCCATCTGGCATACGAAACAAATTATTTAGAGAGTGAGTAATTGGTGCGTTGTATATACTGAATCTGAGGGTGAGACATTTCCAAAAGTAATGGATTGTGGAACGAAAAGCTCATCAGTTGTTGCTATGCCAATTTATTTTGTATTGTTGAACGAGAAAACTCATCTTAAGTTATTTTTTCCCATATATAGCTCACACAAACATAGTACCCTCTCAACTTCACAAATTTCATGCAGAATATTTTGTTCTTGATTCTTTCTAATGTATTGCTCATGTTACTGTTTGAAAGGAATATAAAATGACGCTGTTATTTGTTTTACATGCTTTTGATTTATGGTTTACACTTGCTTAGACTCTTTATGTTCAACCTGTTGCTAGCCAAATGCGCTAGTTGTTTCATATCATAAAGAAAATGATTGAAAATATTTCTTTGTTTTGATATATCATGAGTCTGGCTCTGGAAAGTAATATATGAGGAATTCGCAGATTGGGAATAGTTTTGCTGGTTTTTATACTGTGTGACGTGGTAATATGCAAGTCCACAATGCCTTGAAACTTATTGTTATATGGTTAATTACAGAAGCATTTGTTGTGAGTTTTTCTTTTGTCCTTTGCAAGACTTTACCGCCACTGCCACTCTTGCGCTTGATTCCAACTGTTTTCTCCACTACAACCCTCATCTCTCTCCCGACTGTCACCACCAATATGTAACCCCGGCTGTATTCGGCTGCTCGCATCTCTTTCACCACCATCTGAGACTTCAACTCGCCGGTACGGCCTCAAATGTCAGGCGAGTGAATTTCTTGGTGCTCGTGCCTCTGGCCCGACTCAGTGTAGGTTAGCCTTATTTGTGGTTTGAGATTTCGCTTGGTCATTCTAGGGATTTTGGGCTGAGCCCCGATTTATGGTAGCCAAGGGCTGGGGATTCGTGGCTGGCATGTGGCTGTCCGGCTGAGATGGTTTATTATCTTGCTCCAAACTGCTCACTGACAAAATCCGAAATTATTTGTGTAAATGTATTTTTTTCATTTTGGAGGGGGTGTTCGTTTTTGAAATCTTGGATGATTAATTGGTTTGCTGAAATAGTGAAGTATGATGGGTTTATTTAAGTTGTGTGTAATTCGCATGCATCAAGAGGCTTTGGATTGTATGATTTTATTATATCTGCAGGATAATATAATTTTCTTATAGGACTAAAGAAACCTGATATGAAGTTGGTGAAAATTTTGGTGGGGTCTTTCAATTTCATGTGCATTGTCCGCTGTGGAGGATGTGGCATTGTGCTAGGCTCTATCTCTCATATTTTCGCATTTGGTTTTGTTCTCGAAGCGTTTTTTCCTTTCGAATTCAAATTGTATTGTCGATGCTTGCCAAAAGATTCGGGCTTCTCAAAATCCTCTGTGGGAAAGCCTGTTTCATAATTACGGGGGTATATAGATTTTGTTTCCTTTTGGATTTTTAAGCCGTGATGATTATGAGTATTTGTTTTGAGTTACATTTTCCTGGTTGTTGATATGTATCTGCTTTGATTTGTACTTGTTGTTTTTTCTTGCGAGTGTGTGCATGCATTTGTTCATGATTGGAGTGTTGAGCTTATGAGCCTTCTCCTACACTGAACGGGCCCCGGGTACAGGGCTCTGCCAGTTAAGGTCTTCACCAAGGGGCCGGGGAAAAGGAGGAACTGAGCGTAGACTTCTGTCGTCATTTTGTCCAAATTCAGGCCAGCAAAAGGGACAAAGATGGATTCTTCATGGCTCTCTAACCCTTGACATGTGAGTGTTTGCTTATATAGTTGTCATTGTTTTATTTGTGACTACATTTTTGTGTTGTCCGAAATTCCGAATGTTGTATCTTGCGACGTGCATTATTCTCAGCTTTTTGCTATTTTCTTGAAACTTCTGTGATGCTTCATTTAATTGGTCCCTTATTGTACATTACTTTTTTGGCTGCAGCAAAGTCCATATTGTTGGCTTCTTAGAATTAGAATATATATCAATCATCAATCAAAAGGAAAAAATATGAGTTGCTAGTCTAATAACATGTTCCCATGTTAATGACAGTTTTGTGTTTGCTTTTATTATGATATATCAGGGTCTTTCATATTTTCGACAATGTTTCAGTTCTTGAAACTTTTGCTGCATATTCATATTCTGTGTGGTTTTCATCTTTGGTTTGATTTTTACTCATCTCTGTTATTAATCTCGAGTAAGAAGAATAGGGGTTCTCAGTTTTGGGTGAAATTTTGTCTTACTGAGGGCTATCGTTTTCAAGTTGTGATGCAGACTGATGAAGAATACCTTGAGGCTCATTATTGTCGGAGCAGAAGATTACGCCAATCAGTCAGTATAGTTATAGTTTACTCCTGTATTTTTCATGTACATTATTACTTTATGTGGTCTGTGCCAAAGACGACATACATATTTTGTCAGGTTAAATTTGGCAATGTTTCCATCATTTGAAGTTCTTAATACTAATTCAGGTACAAGAAAGATTGTGTAGATTGTTCTTTGCTGCTGTTGAGGTGCCCTTTTTCTGTTTTCCTGCCCTGAAGGCCCTAATATTTTATTTGTACCTATCATTTGATAATAAATGTTAGCTGTTATATGCATCTATATGGGTTCATAGAACTTTTATGATTCTTTTTCTCTATGACATTTCCAGAAAATAGCTTATTACAATTGTTCTATAAACTTACAAATTGTCATGAGGATGTTTTTTTTCCTATATACGACACCGAAATGAGCAGGGTAGTTTATATATATAAAAATAAAAAAAAATAACTGGACAAAAATAAAAAGAAAAAAAAAATTGTGAACAAAAATAAAAAGCACGTATTTTCATAATACGTTTTTTTAATTATTTTTTTTTAAAAAACGTTGTTGTCGTTCGCGGTCATGGCGTCTTCTACCTCCACCAATGTTGGCAGCAGGTTGATGCCTCGCTCTCCACCAATGTTGGCAGCAGGTTGATGCCTCGCTCTGTGTGACTGTGTACTCTGAGATGGGACGTAGTCCTCCTCGGATAGAACTTGACTGAACGATGCCCCTTGTGTGACCTCTTGGCCTCCAATAGTCAGAGAACTATAGGTACTCTCCCGGATGAGTGCACAGAAGATCGACATATTTGGATGTATAGGGGGTGGATCTTCTGTTGGAACATACGTGAAGTCCACTTGTCTGATAAGGTTCTCCGTCAGTTTGGGTGTCAGCAGTTCATCCCCCAAAATCCGATGATTAGTGGTGAGCAAGAATGAGAGACACACCACAGAGGTCGTGGAATGACTGAGAGGGCATTGGTGATCGGGCCGCCTTTCATTCACAGCTTACCAAGGGCTAAGTCGATGAAAGAGAACAAAATGTCCTCCAAGATGCCCTATGGATCACTTTCTACAGGCTGAGTAGGGTTACATTGATTGGTTTTCACTAGGACTGTAAGTCTTATCAGTGACCCTACCAAGTACACGATGGTCCAACAGGACGGCGACTATCAGACATTTGCCGAGCGGGAGAAGTGCGATGTAAGTATTCATAATTTGTGGTTTTTTATTATTTCTTTTTTTCTTTTTTGGTGTTTCATACTAATTACTTTGAATTTTATTTTCAGACTCAAGCCCTGAAGGGGGTTTACAACTCGTTAGCGAATATTCAAGACATATTTCCTACACTCCCTCCACGGGCGCAGGCCGCATTCCAACAGTCCTACAACATTGTCTATAGTTATCTTACCAATAGTCCTACAACATTGCCTAAAGTTCTCTGGCTGTTGGAGGCCAAGAGGTCACACAAGGGGCGTCGTTCAGTCAAGTTCTATCCGAGGAGGACTACGTCCCATCCCAGAGTACACAATCACACAGGGCGAGGCATCAACTGCCAACATTGGTGGAGGTAGAAGACGCCGTGACCGCAAACGACAACAATGCCCGTTCGGAGTCGTCTAAGCTCGAAATTGAGTTTCGTTTCTTCCTATATGTCGCCAACGAACCCGTCTACACAACTATGATTGCCCGGTCAATTTTCGGGTTAAATCTATTCCTCATAGGGCTAAATAATTAACAAATCACCTATTAACAAATCCTCTCTGTACCATCTATTTATATAATGAGTGATTTGTTAATTATTTAGCCCATGAGGAATAGACTGAACCCGAAAATTGCCTATAATTTTCTGACTGTTGGAGGTCAAGAGGTCACACTAGGAGCGTCGTTCAGTCAAGTTCTATCGGAGGAGGACTACGTCTCATCCCAGAAAACACAGTCACAGAGGGCGAGACATCAACCCAACATTGGTGGAGGTAGAAGACGTCGTGACCACGAACGACAACAACGCCCGTTCGAAATTGAGTTCTGTTTTTTCCTATACGTAGCTACCGAACCTCTCTATTCAATGATGCATGCATGACCAAATTATTCTTGAAATCATATTCTCCCAAAGCTCTTGACCTACACATTAAACGTGTTTCGCGCGACTTTGCTTTTCGGGCCCGTTAGGACTCGTCCAAGCTCGAAATTAATTTCCGCTTCTTCCTATATGTCGCCAATGAACCCATCTACACAACCATGATTTCCCGGTCAATTTTTGGGTTAAATCTATTCCTTACGGGGCTAAATAATTAACAAATCAACTATTAACAAATCCTCTGTGGACCATCTATTTATATAATGGGTGATTTGTTAATTATTTAGCCCGTGAGGAATAGATTTAGCCCGAAAATTGACCGGGCAATCATGATTGTGTAGATGGGTTCGTTGGCGACATTTAGGAAGAAGCGGTAATGAATTTCGAGCTTGAACGAGTCTGAACGAGCCCAAAAAGCAAAGTTGCGCGAAACACGTTTAATGTATCGGTCAAGATCTTTGGGAGAATATGATTTCAAGAATAATTTGGTCATGCAAGCATAATTGGATAGAGGGGTTCGTTAGCTACGTATAGAAAAAAACGGAACTCAATTCCGAGTTCAGACGAGCCCAAAACACAAAACACATACTATATATTAAATTTTTTATTCATTAATTTTGCAATTATAAAACGTATAATCAAAATACGTTTTATAAATAATTAAGATTTTAGTTTTTAATTATTTGTTTAGTTCTTAATTATTTGTAAAACGTATAATCAAAATACGTTTTATTTATTAATTTTTTTTAATACGTATTATGTGAATACGTTTTACACTAAAACGTATTTTCGGAATATATTTTACACTATAAAACGTATTTTGAAAATACGTTTTTTAAATAAAAACGTATTCTCAAAATACGTGGTTTTGATTTTTGTCCACATGTTTTTAAATTTTTTGATTTTTGTCCACTTAATTTTTTTTTATTTTTAAATAAATAAATAAATTGAAAAATTGTGCTTGAATCTATTCTGTGTAAGTTGTAATTGGCATAGCCACTGTTGATGAATTTTTGGTTCCTAATTCATTCGTTTGGAAATGTCTGCCCTCATATTCACTGTAAACAAAACACCAATCACTCTCTACATACTTTGTCACATGCCCAATGGATGAAAAGAAGCTGCAAACTATTTTAATTGTATTGAATAGTTAATCGGTTTATCAACATGCAATTGGGAGCACAAAGATTTGTTCGGCTTGGAAAACAAACGCAAGTGAAGGCAATATTGGAACAGAGCTCCCTTAAAGTAGGTTCCATGCTCCGTTAAGCCCAATAATATCACACTTGTTCGACTCCAATACAAGGTCGGGAGAATGGCCGATAGCTATTGTAATTATTTATATTCACTCATCGGCTAGTGATATGAATTAATTATGTTAAATTAAATTAAGTGGCAGTATGTGGAATGTTTGTCTCAAATCATTTAATGCAATTTAGATCTAAAATTTAATTATTAATTGCTACACTATTATTGATCATATATATTTGTGTTTGAAATTTTATTCTATACAATTTCACATCTAATTTTATTACATTATAAAAAACGTATATCCGTATAATACCAGAGTATAAAGTTAAACTATGAAATTCATCTTCTAAAATTCTATTAACAAATAATATGCATAGTATATGACTT